TGGAAGGCAGCTGGGAGGCCGGCTCTGCCTGCACGAGGTAGGGACACTCACAGCCGCTCGGGAGCCTGGCCGGGGCCAGCAGCCGGGAGAAGGGCCGCAGCAACGCGGACGGCGCCATCTTGCCGGGCGGGCTCCGCCTCCCCAGCCAGTCCCTCCGGGTCGGCGCCGGTCCCCGGAGCGCCCCCTGGCGGCGGGACCCGCCTGCGCGCCGAGGCGTTGCAGTCACAGGCAGGTACTCACTCGTCTGGTCCGTCTCCAGTCTGCGAGGTTAGGGAGGAAATGATTCACGTGCGAGGTGTGGGGGAGGAGGAGGTGGCTTGTCCTCTGCCTTGTCCTCCTCCTCCTCGTCCTCGGAGAGTTTATTTCAGACCCCTTCCCCAGGGATACCTACCCTTAGATCCACTGCAATCCACCGTCAGGAGCCAGAAAACTGGAAATGAAGTGTCGTGTTGAGTTAACAGTTAGCATGTTGATTAAATTCTGTGTTCCAGCCACTGTGCATGAATGCATCATGTGGTTCACATGCATCCTCTCATTTCATCTTCACGACAGACTGCATGGCATGCCGTGATTACTATCTTCAATTAACAGACGAAGCTCAAAGAAGACAAGCTATTCATCCAAGGTGACATAGTATTCCTGATATCTGGAAAGACCTCTTACGGTTTCTAAAGTCTGCTTGCTCGCACTGTCTTAGAAAAGCCTCACAACCCTGTGAGGAAAAGAGAATCCCCGCGTTTTAAAATAAATGCCTGACCCGCTCACGAGCACACACGTGGGGGAGGCGGGCTTCAGACTGAGGTCTTCTGATCCCAGATTTAGTGATCCTCCCTTTTCAGTGGCCCTCCTTAGCCCCCCTAACAGGCTTGGACAGGCCGCTGAGGCCATGAGCTGAAGGGCAGGGTTCAAAGTGCTTAAGTTCCTAAGTGCCATTCCTGCTCACACCTTTTTAGCTGCATCAATTTTAGGCAAATTACTTAACCTCTGTATGCCTCCCTAACATCAAGCCTATGTATAGGGTCCTTGGGACACTTAGTTTGTAAACAACTTGGTTTTGCCTGTTAAAAACATTGTACTGATCAGTAGGTTTTGTCTCTTTCACAGTTGAACCAGATTTATGTACATTCAATTCTCAATTTGATCTGATGTGTAAAGACCTTGTAAAAATATGTATAGGTAAAAGAGATAATAAGTTTTAATAATTTAACTCTAATCCTTTGAATCTTATGCCATTTAGTTTCATTTTAAACGCAAAATAAATGTTAGCAAACCTCTTTTCCTTCTATATTTTCTTTTTTTGTTAATCCTCACCCAATGATATACTAGTATATATATATTTTAAATATATTTCCATTGATTTCAGAGAGGAAGGGAGAGGGAGAGATAGAAACATCAATGATGAGAGAATCATTGATCAGCTGCCTCCTGCAGGCCCCCTACTGGGGATCAAACCTGCAACCCAGGAATGCACCTGTGGCTGGAATTGAACTCCTTCAGTCCTCAGGCCAATGCTCTATCCACTGAGCCAAACCAGATAGGGCATGGTATTTTTTCCCATTGATTTTTAGAGAGAGGAGGGGGCGAGGAGAGAGAGAGAGAGAGAGAGAGAGAGAGAGAGAGAGAAACATTGATATGAGAGAGATACATCTATCCGTTGCTTCCTGCACGTGCCCCACTGGGGTCCTGGATCAAACCCACAACCCAGGTACATGCCCTTGACTGGGAATCGAACCCCCGACCAACACTGCCAGCCACAGAGCTACACCAGCCAGGCCCTTCTATATTTTCTTTAGCTATGTTATTAAAATTTTTTAAACCAAAAATTATTAACTAAAGAGTAAAAAATAATTGTTTATGCTTTCTGGTTCACTTTTACTAGTACATGTAATGGATGGCTAAATAGATTGCTAAGATCTGAGTCACTTTATAGTTTCTAACCTAGTTTGAGTCTCCTGGGCTCACGCTCAAGTAAGCAAACCACTCAGCTAATATGCTGAGTTGTTGGTTCTCAACTTCTCTTCTCGTCCACTCAGCACCCAGTCAGTTGTATATCCTTTCTACATCATCCCTTGGAAGCTTGTCCTGACACAGCTCTTGCTAGTATCCAACAAGTTGGAACAGAAACCTGACTTAGAGCATACAGAGCCAGTAAGCCAATTGCCCATTTCAGTACTGCTGCTGGAAAAGGCTGTTTTGTTCTTTTGGCCCCCTTTACTGGTGTATATTTTGGGAGAGTGATAAAGTATAAGCACATTTCTTTCAGTGTGTTATAGCTGATGGAACCCTACACTTGGAGTAGGCAGCTGTAGGTGAAACCACATCTTGAAAAGAATCCCGGTGAAGCGATTCCAGCCGGGAGCTAATAGCTGTGATGTTTTGGTAGAAGTTGCTACCTGACATTCATTTAAGCATTTCCAGAATTTGAATGCTAAAACTTTATTTGTGACCCAGGCAAAGGGAAAGGAGATTTGAATAGCAGCTAGGAAACCAGACTTTTTAGTCCCTGATTTTCCTGCTGGGAAACTTCTTACTCAACTTACACCTCCTAAGGAGGGTTAATGAAGAGCAAGACTTGAAACAGTATAAAATGTAAATTATATATATGTTTATTGATTTATGATTCACAAGAAGACTATACATCAAATTCAGGATCTGGAGAGAGATGAAGTGCCTGATGTATCTTTAAGTTTTTATTTAACTTACTGAAGTAATCACAAAATGTTAACATTTGTTAAATCTGGGTGGCAAATACATATTTCTTTTCTGTTGTATTTCTATAAAATTTAAGTACTTAATAATTAAGGCATAAAAGTGTCAATAGAGAACATCTTACATATGTGAAGATGAATGAATTTAACTCTACATAACCCTTTTTGTAGAATTAAAGTTTGTCAGGTAAATTATTTATTTACTAGAGGCCTGGTACACGGATCCGTGCACTGGTGGGGTCCCTTGGCCTGGCCTGTGGGGATCGGGCCGAAACCACAGTCTGACATCCCCTGAGGGGGTCCTGGATTGCAAGAGGGTGCAGGTCAGGCAGAGGGACCCCACCGGTGCACGATTGAGGCTGGGGAGGGATCTTGGGAGGGTTCCAGGGCGTGTCTGGCCTGTCTCACTCAGTCCCAATGGACCCGACCCCAGCAGCAAGCTAACCTACCAGTCGGAGCTTCTGCTCTCTGGTGGTCAGTGCACATCATAGCGACTGGTCGAATGGTCCAATGGTCGGACACTTAGCATATTAGGCTTTTATTATATAGGATTTTTGGTTAAGATTTTCAGGGATGAGGCATTTTGACAATAGTCATATGCAAATATTTGGGGTAAGGTGAACTACCCACCACCACCATCATCGTCCCTGTCACCATCTAGCCTTGGATATGTTAACTTCTTGGATAGCTATCATTAACAGTATAAGTGAGATCTTTATCTGTTAAAAAGTGGTGATCTACCAGAGTACATATTTTATTGTTGAGTTCAGGCTATGAAGTCTCTGACTATGTGGTTCAACTGTTACCTGTATCAGTAGGTCCATTTTAATGAGGATATGACTCAGATAAATGTTGACTCAACTAGTATTCACTGAATCTTAAAAATTGGTATTTATTTGTTATCAGCCAAAAAGAATGTAACATTACCAAAGCATATTGCTGGCTCATCTATTTAGGTGCTTAGCTTCTGTTGGAAACTACTGCTTGTTTTGAAAGACAAGAAATGCTCTTCCTCCAAGGGGAAAACAGTATATTATTTACAGGATACATTTAGAAAATCATAGCAAATAATATTGCTATAGGGACTTTTGGCTATGAAGCCATCCTAACCCTAAACATAAACCTAACCCTAAGCTGAATCCTAACTCAAAACCTAAACATAACTAAATCTAAACCTAACCCTAAAATTAACCTAACTCTAACCCTAAACCAAACCCTAATCCTAAACCTAACCTTAAAGCTAACCCTACCGTAACCCTAAACTTAACCCCTACCACTAACCATAACCTAACTTTAATCCTAAATATAATCTTAACCCCAACACTAACCCTAACTTTAACCTTAAACATAATCTTAAAGAAAACCCTAAACCTGAAGTTAGACAATTTTTCTATCTTTTTATAGTTCAGATAGTTAAAAGAAAGACCTTTTAAAAGGGGGCAGTGAAGTTCAAATGTTACTACAAATTAACAACTGTTTTTATGAATTCTATGTTTGTTCTGTTGTGTGTTTTTTAAGTTAAGATAAAAAAAAAAAACTGGCCATATTCCAAAACTCAAACTCAGTTTCCTATAGATAAAATTTTCTTTTTTTAAAATATATTTTTATTGATTTCAGAGAGGAATGGAGAGGGATAGATAGATAGAAACATCAATGATGAGAGAGAATCATTGATTGGCTGCCCCATGCACGCCTTCTACTGGGGATCGAGCCCACAACCTGGGCATGTGCCCTTGGACGGAATCGAACCCGGGACCCTTCAGTCCACAGACCAACGCTGTATCCACTGGGCCAAACCAGCTAGGGCAGTAAAATTTTCTTAATGAAATTTTTGGAGATCACAGAAATTGAGGAGATTTCAGGATTTGACTACTAAAACCTTATTTATGACCCAGGCAAAAGGAGAGGGCATTTGAGATAGCAGAAAGCCCAAGCATTAGTCCCAGACTTTTCCACTGGGAAACTTTCCAGAGAAAGTTAAGGAAGAAGAAGCTGAAACCAGGAAAATACCTGAGTAAATAAATTTAATATTTTTTAAAAAATTGATTTCAGAGAGAGGAAGAGAGAGGGGGAGAGGGATAGAAATATCATTAATCAACTGCCTTGCACGCCCCCTACTGGGGATTGAGCCAGAAACCTGGGCTAGTACCCTGACTGGGAATCCAACATGACTTCCTGGTTCATGGGTGGATGCTCAACCATTAAGCCACACCGGTGGGGCTGGGTAAATAAATTTAAAAGAGCAATGTTACATATTATATAATGATTCATGATGCAGAAAATGCTATGAATCGAATTCAGGATCTGGAGAAAGATCATAAAAAATAATCAAGGGGCCCTGGCTGGTGTTCTCAGTGGTTAGAGCAGATCATGTGGAAGGAAACCAGTCCATGTGTCTCTCTCACATCCATGTTTCTCTCTCTCTCTTCCCCTCCCATCCTTCCTCCCTTCCACTCTCTCTGAAAAGCAGTGGAAAAAATAT